AAAAGAAATACCAACGTATTAAATTGCCGCAATCTTGCACGTTTGGGTTGGGCGGATTTTTGGGCCAGTCACTTACCCGATATGGCTTTTAATTAATCGGCACCGCTTATCAAAGCCTCTCGCGGCATCATTTTTAAATCCGCGGTACCGTTTTATTCTCCGCGATGCCGCTTGTCTCCATGCGGTATCGCTTCTCCCCTTCCGACAAGGAATAACAATAATAATAATAACAATAAACTCCTTTTCCAACACCAATACCAAAACGCGCGGCCCCGTCTTATTTTCTTGCGGTGTCGTTTTCTGTGTCGCGGTACTACTGAGCTTCCTTGCGGTACCGCTTTTCTGTTTCGCGGTATGGCTTTAACTCTCCGCGATGCCGCTTGTCTCCACGCGGTACCGATTTTCCCCTTCCGACAAGGAATAAAGATAATAATTAATTAGAGAAAAAACTCCTTCTCCAACATCCATCTAAACGCGCGGCCCCCTTTTGTTTTTCGGTAAGCGGTGTCGTTTTCAGTGTCGCGGTACCGCTGAGCTTCCTTGCGGTACCGTTTTCTGTTTCGCGGTACCGTTTTAATTCTCCGCGACACCGCTCAACTCCAAACGACACCATTTTTTACCCACGGTATCGAATTAAATGTCGAGACTAATTAATGCGGCATTTAATTAACACAAAATAATTTTGGGTGTCAACAGGTAGAATAATATTTAGTCACGGCCATTATGAAAGCCGCGCGCGGTCCTTTTGGCACAGAATAGATGCACTGCCGGGAAAGATGGAGTGGGTTTAGTTTGGTTTGGCTTCTCCACCTAGCATTGCATGATCAGCTTCTACAGAGTCTTATATAGTGTAGTACCTTTCATGCACCGTACCTGCCTAACGAATTGACGACTACTTCTCTTCTCTATATGCAGTGTTCAAAGGAAGAAAAAGAAGAGGAACAGAGACAGAGACAGAGGATCCATCATGTGGAATGGTCATCAACGCCTACCAGTTTGGAATGGGGTCATATATGTTGAGTTATTTTCCGTGTATATATATGGTGGATATTTCGGTGCACTCACTTTTTTGGGTACACAACTCTAAAAATGGCCATAATACATTAAAAATTTGAGCACTTCTACTGTGCTATATAGCATTGGTGCTTTAATGTTCAACTTGAAATTGTACCATAACATTAAATGTATAAGTTTAGGTTGTACCATAAAAAAATTTGTATCATTATGTTATGGTACAACTTTACAACTTGAAGTTGTACCATAAAATAAAGGTGCAAGTTCAAGTTGTACCATAAAAAAAATTACAAAGAGTATAAGTATAATATAAAGTTGTATCATAACGTGAAATGTACAATTTCAAGTTGTACCATAAAGGCAAAAACCTAAAGCACCAATGCTATATAGCACTGTAGAATTCCTCCAAAATTTCAACTTTAATGGGTAGCATTAGTCTAATATGGTGTTATAACATAGAATCACAACTAATCAATCAATTACCCTAACCCCTTAATCTTCAATTTTGAATCCCAACCCAAAACCCCAAATTGTAAACCCTAACCCTAAATTCCTAAGCTCTAAATTATTCAATTTAAAGTAAATCTTGGATGATTTTTGTAAAAATTCATATGTTTCTTGTTCATCATACCACAAGTGATGACTGACATAATTTCACATGAATCGCCTGCTTAGAATGACGATTATGAGGCGAGTACATTGAATGCACTAAGAAAGTGAGTGCATCGAATACATAACCATATATGAAAAACCATAATCAGGTTAAATAAACGGCTCGCTTAGTGTATTAACACTCTAACTATTATTACTTGTGGAAGTTAGGATATTAACACCCAATTTGTTAGTATAGTGCTAACACTAGTTCCACTGAATAAATATATTTTAATTTTGACAACTCTTTTATTTGAATAGGGTGATCACAATTAATGTATTTATAAACGGATAGCCACATTTGTCATTATTCAAAATTGGGGGACACAAGCGTGTGATGTTGTGCATTGATTCTCGTGCATCACCACAAGTATCATGAAACATAATAGAAACACATACCAGAAACACAATAAAACACACCACAAATATCATAAAACATACAAGAAAACTTATAAAGCAAACTAAAATCGTACTACGACACACAATTCATAAAACATAGCAGAAAACTCAAAGCATATAAGAAAGCTTATAAAATTGCGTATGGGTAAATTAAATACATCGGGACACACCTAAAATTTGAAAAAAAATGATTATTCAATCCCTTATACAAATTTTCTTATGGGTGAAAAAATACATATAAACGGTAATATGTGTGATATGAATTTGGGACACTACTAGCTAGTATTAGTAAGCATGTATTTCATTAGACTATAACTGATCATTTGTTGTTGTTGTTGTATTTTAAACAACAATCTATGAATAAAAATGAGTTAAAGACACATTTGGTCACTGAGATTACTAAATTGAGACATATTTAGTCACTAAAAAAAGTTAATATCAAATTTGATCACTATAATTACTAAAACATGACACATTTAGTCACTCGCCGTTAGTTGTCGTCCAACTCCGTTAAAAGAGTCCGTTATGTGCTGACGTGGCTAACATGAGTGCCTAGTGAGCACAGCTTTGGGCCGGAAATGGTCAAACTCGACCCGCCACATCACTAAATCCGCCACGTAATAAACCCAACCCAATCCATTAACCTAACCCAACCCAGAAATAAACACTAACCCACTTAACCAGACCAGAGCCCACTTAAAAAAACAAAACTGATGAGTTTCCATTTGCAGACCTGAAAACCTTCTCCTTCCTCAAGAGCTCTTCCCTTCGCCATTTTCGATCAAACTAATCTGAGACTAGAGAGCAGGGAGAGTTTGTTCAAACCACCCGCCTCGTCTTGCCTCTTACCCTTATTATTCTCCTTGGGAGACTTGAGGGGAGCACCAGCAGGTGCAGGGGATTCCAAATTGACAGAGTCGGGGGAGTGAGATGGAAGGAAGCCGGAAGGGAGGAAGAAGTTGGGGGTTTGGTGGGGGGCATAACGGTGATTGTAAGAGGGCGGAGGAAGGGTTTGTGTTGCTGCTGAGGCGGCGGTGGGTAGCCGAAAGAGAGCAAGAAATTGGGGGTTTGGTGCGTCGGACGGTAGCCGGAATAGAGGAGGGAATTGGGAGCGGGTTGGTGAGGGGCATAACGGTCTTTGTAGGATGGCGGCGGAGGAGGAAAGGGCTGCTGCTGCTAGTGCGGCGGTGGTGGGTAAGGTTGCTGGAAGAGGAGTTGCTGGAGCTGGGATCGGATGAAGTCGAGCTTGGGGGAGAGGTCGACGCCGAGTTTGGACTGGAGGTGGTGGACGACGGCGGTCATGGAGGTGAGAGGGCCAGTGGCGGAGGATTGGGACTGGGAAGTGGTATAGTCGTGAAGGAGGGAGTGGAGAGCTTGGGATATCTCTCGCTCCGACATTTTTTTTAAGTGGGATCTGGTTTGGTTAGGTGGGTTAGGATTTATTTCTGGGTCGGGTCGGGTTGGATTTGTTACGTGGCGTGTTAAGTGACATGGCGGGTCGGGTTTGACCATTTCCGGCCCAAAACGGCACTTTATAGGCGCTCACGTTAGCCACGTCAGCACATAACAAACTCTTTTAACAGATTGGACAGTAACTAACGACGAGTGACTAAATGTGTCCTGTTTTAGTAATTATAGTAACCAAATTTGATATTAACTTTTTCTAGTGACTAAACATGTCTCAATTTAGTAATCTCAGTGACCAAATGTGTCTTTAACCCGAATAAAAATACTATTTCTTAACCCTGATTATTTTAAAAACCTAACGATTAAACCAATTACGGGTACTATAAAGTTGGGTAGAAAAGTGTGGCTGGGGCGAACCACAAGTTTATTAAATCACACTCTAAAAACAGACCACAAGTTTAATAGACCAGAAACCTCATAAAGCATAACACAAGTTCATTTAAGCACGCCACGATTTTATTAAAGCATATCACAAGTTTATTAAATCACACTCTAAATTTACTAATATTTACCACAACTTCCACAAAGCACACCAAAAAACACATAAAGCATACCACAAGTTTCTTAAAACACACCACAAGTTTCTTAAAGCAGACCTAAAACCTCATAAAACATATCAGAAAGGCAGAAACCTCATAAAACGTATCACAAGTTTATTATAGCTTACCACAAATTTTTTTAAAGCATATCAGAAACCTCATAATTAAACTTGGACTGATGTGTGGAAGCATCAGTCTGAGAATGAACATCATGATTCATGAAGATGCTTCCACAAGTTTCTTAAAGCATACTAGAAATCTCGTAAAACTTACAGGACACATAGCGTATTGTTCCCTTTATAAATCCACATAAATTGTAAACAACCTCTTAAAATGAAAAAAAAAATTATTAATATATAATGTTTCTATTGACCGGAACTTGTAGTAGGGGCGAACCCAAGGGGTTTTATGGGTGTCCCGAGACACCTATAAAATTTAATAAACGATTATCCGATCAACGATAAAAATTTGTGAATGGGTAAATTAAATACATTGCGGCACACCTAAAATTTGAAAAAAATGATTGTTCAATCCCCGATAAAATTTTTCTTAAAGGTAAAAAATACATATACACGATAACATGTGTGATTTGAATTTGGGACACTACTAACTAGTATTAGTAAGCATGTATTTCATTAGACTATAACTGATCATTTGTTGATGTATTTTAAACAAAATTTAAGAATAAAAATACTATTTCTTATTCACGGTTATTTTCAAAGCCTAATGATTAAACCAATTACGGATACTATATATAGTTGGGTAGAAAAGTGTGGCTCTCATCGATCTCTTTTTGTTGACAGTTGATGAGTCAATGTATTATTCCTAAACCACCATCAAACGTCCCCCATCCCTCCACTTGTCAATAAGACAAACGATCACGGCAGTACATCTTACAACCCTACGCACTAAAATCCCCCTCCTCCTCCACGACCCAAAAACCCTCCCCAACTATATTATATTATTATTATTGAGTGCCTCTGCCTCCACACCACCACCAATCTCTCTCTTCCTTTCCATATCTTCCCTTCCCACAACATAAATACAAACCCACAACCCTTCCCACAGAACCTGCACAATACCACCCAAAAAAAAAAAAAAAAAGCCACTCCAATTAATTCCATAATAATCTGGGTAGAGAGGAGAGAGAGAAAGAAAGGCAAGGAAACTGGTGCAGGGTGAGAAAGTGTAGGATCGTGGCCCAGGCTGTGGAAAAATGACGAGCTGTGACTTGAACCTGAGAGCAACCGAGCTCTGCCTCGGCCTCCCCGGCGCCGGCACGAAGCTGCCGTCCCCCGAAGCAGCAGAGACGCCGACCAAGGCGAGCGGGAAGAGAGGCTTCTCCGAGACCGTGGATCTCAAGCTCAACCTCCATGATGACAACCACGCCCCAAATGACTCCGCAAAATCCGCTGCTGGATCAGTCATCAAGCCCCCAGCCAAGTACGCCGGCCAACCTTGTATTTTCTTTTTTCCTTATAATAGTTAAGTTAGGTGTTACTTACAGAATTCGAACCGACGGGGTGCATGCTGCAGGGCGCAAGTGGTGGGTTGGCCGCCTGTGAGGTCGTACAGGAGGAACGTGATGGCTACTACCACGCAGAAGAGCAGCAGCGGCGAGGAAGATGGGAAGAAGACGACTGCAACTCCGGCTCCGGCGGCGTTCGTTAAGGTGTGCATGGACGGAGCGCCGTACCTTCGAAAGGTGGACCTGAAGATGTACAGCAGCTACCAGCAGCTCTCCGACGCTCTCGCCAAGATGTTCTCCTCCTTCACCATGGGTATTATTTTATTACTATACCTTTGCCACGTGTCGTGAGGGCGTGGTAGATCTGTAGATTTATTTACTGATGATAATTAATGTTGATTATTGGATAATTAACGATAGGTAATTACGGAGGTGAAGGGATGATCGACTTCATGAACGAGAGGAAGGTGATGGATGTGGTGAACAGCTCAGAGTATGTGCCCAGCTACGAGGACAAGGACGGCGACTGGATGCTTGTGGGCGATGTTCCCTGGGAGTATGTTCCTTTCCTAGCTTCCTAATTCCCCCCACCCATCTCTCTAATCTAATCTAATCTAATCTAATCTAATCTAATCTAATCTAATCACTCATTATTTCATATTATTTTCATGCTCGAATAATTCTCCATAATAATTATTAAACCACCTCATATATGTGTATGGTTAACTCTAATTATATATAGTTATTAATGGTCGAGAGAATAATAATTCTAGTCTTGCCAACTTGTGACCTTATTCCCTCATCATCATCGTCATTATTTAAGTACTACCTTGCGACATATAATCTTCCTCAGCTGGCACATAAAGATTTTTTTGCTTGATACTAATATTATATTAAATTATATATGGAGTTCAGTTAATTAATTCGATCCGATTGATGTTGCGCAGGATGTTTGTTGATTCGTGCAAGCGTCTTCGTATCATGAAGGGATCAGAAGCTATTGGACTCGGTATAGCTCCATCCTCATCAATTAAAATCGTAGGTAGTTCGAGAATGAGTTATAATTGATTATCATATGCGATCATTAATTTGGTGAAATGTTGCAGCACCGAGGGCAATGGAGAAGTGCAAGAGCAGAGCTTGATGATTGGATGTGTGTCTTGTTGAAGTAATTGGGTGTATCGATCTCTTCTATATTTTTACCGCCACCTCACGTTCAAGTAATTTTTCCACCTTTGGGAGTATTTGTGTCGCTCTCTTTTTATTTTTACCGTTTTGTAACTTTGGTTTTGCTGGAGTAAAATGGTATATAGATAAAAATGTGAAGGAATTGGAGATGTAGACAATTTGTGATACACAAGAAGAAGCAAACACAATAAGCTTAAACCAACCCCCCACCACTACTGCACTACTGTCTGCCTGCCTGCACTCTTGTTTATTGCTAATGGCTTTGCCTCCCCCATTTTTCTGTGTTCATTGCAATGTGTTCTTCTTTTGAAAGAAAAAAGTTATGTTTGTTGTTGGTGAGTGAGTGAGTGAGTGTTCTACATTATGAAATTTTAATCTTTTTTTTTTCTTTGTGTACTTTTTCATTACATTTATTCAATTTAGTGCACCATTGTTATGATGTAGGTGTGAGTTTTTTTTATACAAGTGCCATTGTTATCATGTTGTTGTATGCAATATTTTATTTTTGTGAGGTAGGAATTTATGAGGCAAGTGAGGTGAGGGAACAAACCCATGTGCATGTTGATGGGTAGTCTCTCACCATATGGAAGGAACATTATTGTACATGGAATACATGGAAAAACAATATAGAAAGTGGGCAAGTATTGATTAATTCATTTCAATATATTATGTAGCAGATCGGTTGACTACTGTCATATAATAACATTATCGTAATTTTTTAGAAAAATTATCGATACAGTTGTTAACCAATAGTTTAAATGTCTGACTCGTTTAAACGATGAAGTTTTACACCAATTGAGGATGGTCAAGCTTCTTCTTTTTTGGGATCCTAAAACAGATTTGAGATCAATTAATTATTATTAGCAAACTTTGAATTAGTATAAGTCCTTTGATATGTGTCTCTGCTTCTGTCTGTGGGCAGACACATGCACTCAATTTGAGCAATAAAAAGAGAGCTTCTTCTTGGATCTGAGAGAGATTTGTGGCAGCTCATGTTCTATATATATCTCACCTAGCCAGCTACCGCCTACCTATACTATACACATGTGAAGGGGGAACACAAAATCATATTTTTTGGCAACTTGCCGCAACTTCTATATGCATATTAGTATATATATATATGAAAACTAAATTGAACCATCTCACTAAAAAAATTAGATATGTCAAATAGCGTGCTAAGAAAATTAATGATTGTGTAATCGTATAAGAAGTTATACCGATAAAGTTAGTGATATGGTATTTTGTGCTAAAAGTTTATATTCAATCGTTTTGTACCTAAAGCTGCCAACATTTTGAGGTTCAGCATTCGGTATTTCCTGTCCAATGAACCAGTATAATAGGGTTTCTAACCACCGAAGAACACATGGGATAACCACATCTTAAATTGTTAGGAGACATTGGCGGAGCCACGTTAGAGGTGTGGGGTCCATGGACCCCACTTGGAAAGAAGGAAGTTGAAAATTGTATGAGTTAATGATTAGATAATTGTTTATTTTGGGCGCTGGATCCCATCAATTTAGATAAATTCACTTGAAATCAAATTTTTAGATTCTAAATCCAATAAAAACTACACGTTATTCTTACCACTCATGTACAGTTGCAACTACATATATTAAAAATTAGACAAACTTAATTTAGTAAACTTATTGAGTATTAGTAAAAAACTTTTGGACCCCAATTTGATGAATTTCTAGCTACACCAATGTTAGGCGATTGTCCAAAAATGAATCTTACAACTACTTACATTACATGAATCTGAATTTACAGACTTAACGTTTCCACAAGTCTACCATGTCATGTTCTTAAAATCAACGGTATATTGAAAAATGGAGTATAGCTTACTCTGCAATGTACCTCTATATACGCATGACTGATGCCGCCAATTTGCTCCTAAAATTTTTCGCCAACAAACAAGATATGGGTCTTAACTGTCGCGATCACCTATTGATATTAAGAATCATCGATATACCTAAAGACAAATATATCACGACCACGAGTTACAAGAAATCATACATATATAAAGAAAAAAAACAAATAGCTATATATGTTAATTAGAATCCACAATAAACTATGAACTCACATATACAAAACTTAATACCTAAGGCCTAGGAGCATCATCATAATTAAGGTAGTGTTGAATAGTTGGTTGATAAATTATCATGTAGACATGATTTTATAAAAACCTTATTGAGATTACAAGAGAGTGATCATAAACCACTTTTACAAAAATTTATTACCACTCTAAGGACCACAAAATCATTTTCAAAAATTTGTTATGACAATATCAAAATTATCAAGGACACAAAGTAATTGGAATATGTAAACTATAAAGTAGAGAGGGTGTTGTGCTCCTAATTCTCCCCACCCACCTAGCAAAGGAGGAGACCGACCGATCCAGAAATAAAATCAGGGCAGGTGGCGGATGCACCCAACTTTTTTTCCTCTCACTCTCAAAAAATATCATTCCTCGACATCGATGTCTGGTAGTGCAGCCACCCGCCCGGCCGCCCCTTCTAGCTAGGTTCCTTGAATCCGGTACGCTTTCGGATTCACAAAATCAACCATCCACGAGCCCAAAATTAAAACCCGTTAATATAAGTAATAAATTGATATGATCCTAAATGGTACACCATTCACGTCACAATTACTTGACAAAGAAGCTATCGAAGTTGGGAAGAAGAAAGGCAGAATTTGTCCAAGTCAAAATCTGTGTTCAGGGTACATACTTTGGAGGCATGGTTCTCTCCATTGGCTTGGTGGAAATTCAAGTTTAAGGGTTTGTTTTACAAATGAAGTTACCATGTTTCCAATGGTATGCTTTATGGATCCAGATGATGTCATTAAGACTGTTTTCCAAGGCCTCAAAGTTGCTACCTCAAAACTGGAAAACTGCCAGAAAATGGCCAAGGTAGAAAACTGTTTTGTGAAGCCTACTTTGGAGCTCAATTCAAGAAGCATGGATGGGATTCATGTCAAAAGGCTTCCACAACATGAAACTAGGTATGTTTGTCAACAAAGGGAAGGAATTGGATGAAGAATTGGAGTTCGGGAAGGCCTCGAACGGAAGGCGCGAAGTTAGTACAAAAGCTGCCTTTTGACTGTTTTGCGGGCAGCTTACTTGTGCTTCAAGAAAGGAAGTTTGTGTCCGAATTTTGTAACCTTTTTAGAGTAGAATTTTACCTTATTTGTTTCATTGTTCATCTAGGTTTTTATTAGGTTTATTTGCCTTTAAATACCGTTCTATTTTCGTTGTAAAAACGGAAGACTTTGATTAATCGAATTGAGAACCTTTTGGTTTTTGTGCAAGTTGCGACTTGTGTTGAGTTTGGTGGATTCCAAGCTCGTGAGCTCTTGTATTGATTGAATAGTCACTTCAATCGTGGTCGGGCATCTACCTTTTAATCCAATTGAGCGTTCCCCAGGTGTGGAATCGTCATTTTGGTTCCGTTTTATCCAAGTTCGTATTAAGAACGCGTTGTTCTTGATTCGAGATCAATCGATCCTTCGATTGAGTCGTTAGTTGCGTGACTTTGATAACATACACCCCCCAGGGGCATATTATAAATAATAATTAATAGTAGCGAAGTACGAAACCTCAACCTGCAAAACCCGATCGTATCATAGTGTTGTATTATCTTATCACGATGTCGTGATATAATAATACGATCGGGGTTTTGTATTTTTTTTTTTTTTTGTGTGTTATAGATAATGGTAACAAATAGATAGTCAGAGAACAACAAGCAACCAAATGCAGTAGTCGACAAATAGTCGAATTGTCGATAAAGGGACTTTTTGAGCGACTAAATAGACAACCCTATTATACATGCGACTCTGCGAGAAGTAAAACAACAAGAGAAAAGAGAAAGGCATACACTGTCATCCCAATTTCTTCTAGAACATCATGTCCTGAAGCATGAGATACATCATTCTCCCTATGTAGTATTTGCCCATAGCAAATAGCAGCTAACCACTGTCAGAGTTGGAGTAGTGCCACAGTAGATTATTAGGAATGAGCTGCGAAACAAACAAAAGTAGCACAAATATGTCTGGCAGCATTAACAAGACCCAACTAGAGTCATATGGCTTGAGGCCCATCTGCAAATACTGCTAGTCCAATCCGAAAGTAGAAGAATAAGATAAACCGACTAAAATAATGAGTAACATTAAAAATAATTAAACAATATAATAATTATCGAAAAACAAATCCATATTTATCTTTCCACCGCCCACCGCCATCGGATAAAGATGATGACAATGAATCCACACTACGTGGCAGGCGGAGATCGATAAGGGAACTTGAAGTCGCCAGCTGCTCGGCATGTCGGACAGAGAAACTGGGATAGGTCGGAGGTGGATGATATAGTAGGTCCGACAAGCCCTTATAGGTGTGTGGGAACCGCAGTGGATGGGGAAACCTGTAAGTGATGGGGATAAAAGGAAGTAAATTCTGAACCACCTATGTGATTGCACCCTAAGCCTCCGCAAAGCCAAATTAAGGAATCCAAATCCCCAATTGAAGGTTGGATTCAACGGTAATCCATCCCAATAAAGATTCATTCGAAGAGAATACACCGGGCTCCCGTAAACCACTCTCCAAAAGTCAGATGAGTAACATGACCTGCAAAACGAACAAACACAAGCCACAACCAAACTTGCCCAAATAGCTAGAAAAACGCCTAGGAATCCCGTGGGAAATCGGCCCCAAGTGACAAAGAGTCAAGGGACATGCATGTGCGATCAGAACACCAAGTGAGATACACTGGCCCTCCATCCAGGACAATCCGAGTTGATTCCATGAGCTGCCGGGGAAGATCGGAGACTACTCTGTAATCGCCCTTAATTTCATCCATGGAGGTGGTCAGAAACGTGTCCCTTCTTCTCGATTTGAGAGATTTCCCTTGGGAATCTTGACCCACTGTGATATTTCGGGAAACAATGGATCGATTCTCGGCGAATTGTCACAATTGAAATGTTACAAACCTAATTCCACCTCTTCGCGATATCCAATTGGGGGCGGTAGAGATATGACACTGCTCCGATGTTCTGATTGCATGGACCAAATTTTAGTGTTCAATTGGGCATTCTCGCTGTATGGGGAAGCAGAAAGGGGAAGTGGAAGCCATTTGCATGTTTTTTCCCCCAAATGTGTCCCATAATATGGGAAACAACAAATTATGAAATTGACTCGCTAAAACACAACACCTAACAATGGCCAAGTGTAACCAATGAAAGGGACTGCAGTATAGTGGCTCAAGTAATAAATATCGAATCCACGGGTCTCTAGAGTTACTATTACTCAGCTTCAGTTCGTTATCTAGCAAAACAGATTAAGTTGAAAGAACTAAAACTACTCTAGCAAACTACAGTTAAAGTTAGTCTAATTACAGGTTGGGAACTCACTTAGGTATGATTCCCCCTAGCCACTAGCCAGATTAACGATTGATGATCTCTAACTTGTTTCACTTTCATTCACAATGCGGAGAATCCTTGACTAGACCTTGAGTCTCGCCTAAAGGAACAAGGCCCTCTTGAGTCAATTGCCTAGAGGGACGTATCCTTCTCTAGAACAATCGATCAAGGCGTTCTGAACTAGACTCCCTCTATCGAATGAGGTTCTCAATCGATACAAAGCAGTGAATCAACCCTCGACTAAAGCAATCGATCCACTACTATCAATCTATGGTGCTCTATTGACCTAATCAGGTATTCGCTCTCATAGGATCAAAGCAGAATCAATAATCTCGATTAAAGCAGAATTGAATCGTGAAAACATGCATAGA